AACAATAGGCAAACTTTTTTTCTCAGTGGGGGGGGGGGGGTGTGCGATAGACTTACCTCCACGTGGTGCACCCTGGGCAACGTACACTCATATGGCAAAAAAAGTCTATCAACCGGCAGTTGACTTCTGACTTCAAATTACCACGACCCCCCTGGTTGTCATATTCGACCCCTTCCACAGTACTCACCTTACCTTTTTCTCTACCTTTGTGTCTGTCTGCCTCTTTTACATCTGTGAATCGCTCTTCTGTTCCCCACCCCTCGACTTTCTGCTACTTTGATGAACTTTCCCTCTGTGAAACCCGAAGTCAGCTAAATGGCTAATGATATCTATCAAAACGCCTGCCATTTGAAATAAATCAATAAATTTTTCTCAATGGGGGTCGTAGAAATACTGTTTAGGACACTTAGCTTCCTACCTACCTACCTACCTAACTGTCCGCCTACAATTTTTGTCAGATTTATTTTAACAAAAAAAACAAATCAAACTTTAATTGCGTGATGAAAATGATGCCAATTAAGTGTAAAAAATGACATTTAAAATAAATAGAAAGTCTTCCAGGAGAGCATGAACGCAGTTCATTTCTGCAAATTTTGCGAGAGAAATTCAAAACTACTAAGAGTATCTTGGCCATTGAGGAGAATAAAAAAACGTATTGAGTATCCACTACCTCTTAATTAGTAAATTCATAAAAAAACTTGGAGGACAGTGAGAAGAAATGGCTAAAATTGGCCACACTAGAAAATATAAAGAGCTTTATATATATATATATATATATATATATAGTATTCAACCCGAATTCAAGCAAAAAACAATTCGGTTAACCTTCTTCCAACACCGCCAGATTCTTGTGGCCTTAAGCCTAGACGCTTAAGTAAAAAGAAACAAGTAATCTTTTCCTGATATAATATTTTGGGGCAATTGATAGCTTCACTAGCGTATCTCGCTTGCTACAGCACGTGCTCGGATAGTATTTATAAGAAACAAAAAATAATAATAATAAAAATAATCTCCCTCCCCATATGAATGGACAAATAGCCTTTGTGTATTTGCACGCATGCCCAAAAGTGGACAATTGTTTGGGTAGGAGGGGAGAAATGTCCTCGGATATCTCTTGAATAATGTTCACCCTTTTACGCAAGTTTAATTACTTACTTGACTTGCAAGAGATACTCCGATCCATCCTTAGTTCGCAGCCGAAAGACATTGGGCTTTTTGGAGTAGTCATCGGCCACAGAAGCGAGTGCATGGGCGATGCAAATTACACCTTCGGGCTGAGGTGGGGGCGGTGGTGGTGGAGGAAGCTGGAAAGCTGCGGCTGCTAACTGCTGTTCGAGAACACTAGGAATTGAGGGGCCGGGGAGGGTATTTTCTGTACCGTTAGTTTGTAGGGTCTCCGCTGCCCCTGTAGGCTTCATTTCCTCCTCGCCACCGTCAGTGTCTGTAGTGTCGGCACCAACAGTTGTTGAGACGCTGGGATCTGCATTGGCTGTGATAGTAGAACCAGATGAAGTGGAAGTTTCGTTTTCTGAGGATGGAGTGCTATAAGAGCAATACAAATGATACAGAATTACGATAAAAAAATACTGTGTCTCAATTTATCAGTAGATATTCCTACCTCCAAAAAATGGAAGGTGCCCATCAACAGGCTTGTAGTACACACAAGCTGGCACATAGGTCTACTGGTGCTAAATGACATACCGCGACTCACAACCCACAGCGTACTTTTACTTCAATGTTCTCTGACTTTGGAACAAGTTGCAAAATCTAGTTTCACTATATATATATTGGGTTTGCAAATAAGTCATTACCGTTTTTGTTGACAGATTCACTCTATACTTTCTTTTGTTTTGTTAACGTGCCCAGAGCATCTAACCTATATTTTTTTCTTACTGCATGGGCTTCTAGGTTAATTAGTAAAAACTTTTTTTTGTTTAGTTCTTTAGTTTTGTTTTTATCTCAATTTAAAAATGAAAGCACAGGAAGTGCACTTCCCACACATTTTATTGTATTACTTCCGAAAAGGCAAGAACGCATCGCAAGCACAAAAGAAGTTATGTGCCGTATATGGAGATGAAGCCTTAAAAGAAAGGCAGTGTCGAAATTGGTTTGAAAGATTTCGTGATTCCGGTGATTTTTCACTCAAAAATTCACAACGATCTGGCCGCCCAGTCGAAGTGGATGAAACCCATATCAAGGCCATTATCGATTCAAATCGTCACAACACAACACGAGATATTGCAGAGAAGCTGCTCAATGTGTCGCATACATGCATTGAAAAAAAAATGAAAAACCCTTGGTTATGTCAAGAAACTTGATTTATGGATCCCTCACCAGTTAAAGGAAATTCATTTGACGCAACGGATTAGCATCTGTGATTCGCCGCTACTGAAACGCAATGAGAATGATCCATTTCCGAGGAAGAACCTAGTTAATGGCGACGAAAAGTGGATAGTTTATAACAATGTCGCTACTCGCAAGAGATCATGGGTGAAGCAAGATCAACCAGCCCAAACAGTATCAAAAGCAGAGATTCACCCCCCAAAAAAGATTATGCTGTCAGTCTGGTGGGGGGATCACAAAGGAATTTTGTATTTTGAACTCATGCCGCAGAACCAAACGATAAATTCAAATGTGTATGTTGAACAACTCGAAAAACTGAAAGAAGGATGCAATTGAAGATAAGCGGCCGGCATTATCAAATCGGCGGAAGGGTGTTGTTTTCCACACATCTTTGATAACGCAAGGCCCCACACATCTTTGGTTACTCGGGGAAAATTATTGGAACTGGGTTGGGATGTTTTGTCACACCCACCATATAGCCCTCACCTTGCGCCTTCGGATTACCATTTGTTTCGTTCCATGCAAAACTCTTTAAATGGTCAAATTTTTAACAACGCGGATGATGTGGGATCACACCTAATTCAGTTTTTTAATAGCAAAGACCATACATTTTACGAAGGGGGAATTTTTACTCTGCCAGAAGGATGGAAAAAGGTCATCGACAAGAACGGCCAATATCTAATTGAATAAAGTTATATTTTAAAACAAAAATTCCGAATTTGCCTTCTTATTTAAAATCGGCAATGACTTAGTTGCCAACCAAATGACAGAAGTGTTTCAAAAATGTAAAAGAGACTGACTGAAAAAGGTGAGGTGAGTACTGTGGAAGAATTTGAATATGACATACAGTAGAGTCGTGGTATTTTGAAGTGAGAAGTCAGCTGCCGGTTAGCAGACTCTGTTTGCCTTATGGGTATACGTTGCCCAGGGTGCACCACGTGAAGTTAAGTCTATCGCACATCCCAGTTACTCTTTACTGATCATAAAATTCACAAGCAGATAGAAATCGTGACGAATTCGGCTAGCACCTTAAAATGACTATACCATCAGAATTAGCATTCCTATGGGCCAGTGAGCACAAAGTCCGCCCCCCTCCCACCTCCACAAAAAAGCCCAAAGTTTAAAGAAGAGAAATGACAGAATACTTCATATGGGTTAAAGAAAAGCCAGTCTGGAAACATTGTTACTTTCTCTATCAAAGATTAGATAAATTAAAAGATCTTATATGATATTCTGCATTCAAAGGCTTGAAAAACTGCAAGAGGTGGGATAGGCAAAAAAAATAGGCGAAAGAGTTCAAAATCTACAATCAATAGAAAGAAAGCAAAATAGAAAAGTGCAAGTATTGCGCCAATGTTTCAAAACAATAGATCTTATCTCAATTGTAACCGTTCAAGTTGTAATCGGAACTATAAACGCTTTTAACAGTAAAGTAATAATAATTGTGATTAGGGTGAGAGATACACTTGACGCTAAGGGCTCAGAAGGCACGCAAGATGTTAGACGGAAAAAAATTTGACAGAGTATCGACGCTGGGGCACCTAAGAACCTTACGGGGGCAGAAGGTGCTGTGAAATGAGTTCTTTATTGTGGAGTAAATCAGAGCACAGCCATCCATCTGGTAATTGATGAGCCAGAGGGAGGAGAAGGACACAATGGGCATTACTTCAATCCGATCTAAAAAAATATCACCCACACACAAAGGCACTGACTACCTGTTAAAGAAGCCCCATAAGAAGGGAGAGTGAATGGAAGGATGGTTGCCAGTGGGCCCCCCCCCCACACACACACACGCACACACAAACATGCAAACGAGACTTGACAAGCGGTGGTGGCGAGGCCATTTAGGTGTAGCACCGCAAGATCCCAGACGTCAGTAGAAGCAGCAGATACCACTATAACTGCTGCCAAGGCCATTAAAGTGTAATCACGTAAGCAGAAATTCGTGAGCCCATGTGTGTAGGTGCTGGCCGGCTGAAAGCACCTCGAGGGGAGTGAAATTAGCATAACGTTGCACAGCATAGTGCAGTTAAACAAAAAAGGCCTACCTCCAGTTTAAATTAAGCTTTTTAGACGATATCTATGGGTGCTTCATTAATTCAGTATAGCGAACTTTCTGCAGCAGAAGCCGTCAAGCGACACAGAGGAAGCGAACCTTCAAAGTGAAGTGCAATTAGCAAGATTAGTACCTGAATAACGAAATGAAGCAAAGATTCAATGGAGACCTCAAGAGAGGAAGTAAGAAGGCAGTAGAATGAAACCTTCAGAAACAGGGAATTGAATATGGTGAAGAGTGACATAAAAGTGGATAAAATGAACCTATTTGTCATCATGCAAATGGATCTTTCTTTTTTAGGCTTACAATGAATCATCTAAGGACGCGATTTATCAAGTTGGTAAACCACCTGAAGAAGTATCAATGTCAGTCGCCACCCGATCGTTTTCTCTAAAACCATAACCAACGGATGTAACTTTGGCCTAGTTTCTCCTCTAGAACCCCCCCCCCCAATTAACCCATGTGACTAAAAATAGGCTCCTAAAAACCAAGATATGTTCCTGCCCAAAACGTAATCTTTTGTGACTTTCCAAATACATGTTCTACGGATATTGGCATAAAAACTTAGGACCCAATATTGTTAAGCCAACTTAGCATATATGGATGAGAGTCACAGTGATCATTGAAGGAATGCGAATATGACCTTTCAGTTCAATTTTAAAGAATTCGTTTTCTCGCTATGCATGTTCCGATTTACGGACTCTTTGTGCAGCATGAACGCACCGAAGTAGATGTGGCATTGATTTACGACGCATTTCGAATTTCGACAACCTCATCTACATGAGCGATAGACTAAAAATGCCACAAAGGAGATTCGACAGCTCAACAATTCTATTAATAGTTTGTGCAGATATGAAGGACACTACTTAATCACCTTATACAAGTAGTGTAAGGGAATATGGGTTCAGACAATTCACTCGTGAGCTTTGAGCAACCTTGAGGAGACACAAAAATCATGAGTAGATCGAACTCCGAGGTTGATACGAGCAAGTCCAGACCAAAGGAATAAAACAAGGCCCATAAAATCGATAGCTATTTTAGATATTTTTATAACTGTGGGACTTTACGTTTACCTCCAAGGTTTCTAGTAGGGAGAAGTGCATGTAAAAAAGCAACCGTAAATTCTACAATACGAGGAGGGAGGAGGGGGGGGGG